ATATCGATGGTATTCTATGCCTTAAACAGTTTCTTAGCCGTCATTTCGAGATGAAAGATCTTGGTCCTCTCAGCTATTTCTTGGGTCTTGAAATCTTCCATGATTCCACGGGGTCTTTTCTCTCTCAGGCTAAGTATACCTCTGATCTTCTCACCCGTGCTGGTCTTACGGATTGCAAGACTGCCTCCACTCCGCTGGAGCCTCAGAGTCGTCTTACACCTCTTGATAGCACTCTTCTCTTTGATGCTACCCTATATCGTCAGCTGGTTGGCAGCCTTGTCTATCTCACTGTTACTCGTCCTGATATTGCCTATGCCGTTCATATTGTCAGCCAGTTTATGTCAGCTCCTCGTACCCCTCATTATGCTGCATTAGTTCGTATCCTTCGTTATCTCAAAGGTACCTTGTTTCATGGACTTCATTATTCTGCCCGCTCTTCTCTCCAGCTTCGTGCTTTTTCCGATGCTAATTGGGTTGGGGATCTTACTGACCGGCGCTCTACTACCGGGTTCTTTTTTTTCTTGGGTGATTCTCTTATTTCTTGGCGTAGCAAGAAACAATCTCTTACTGCTCGCTCCAGTACCGAGGCTGAATATCGTGCTCTTGATGATACTACTCAGGAGCTTCTCTGGCTTCGTTGGCTTCTTGCTGACATGGGTGTTTCCCCCTCTGGCGCTACGGCCCTCTTTTGTGACAATCAAAGTGCTCTTCAAATTGCTCACAATGATGTGTTTCATGATCGCACCAAGCACATTGAGATTGACTGTCATTTTATTCGTCAACACGTCACTCATGGTACTGTCCATCTCCATCCAATCTCCTCTGCTGATCAACCTGCTGATATCTTCACCAAAGCCCATTCTCCTGGCCGCTTCGTTGAACTTGTCTCCAAACTCAAGTTGGTTGATGTTTGTCCTCCTTGAGTTTGAGGGGGACTGTTAATATATAATTATTTATTTGATAATCTTAATCTTATCGGTTCTATAAAAGTGTTACTTAAATAAATATGTATGATAATTTTTAGTTAAATTATTCATGTATATTTTGATAATCCCAGTCCTATCATATTATAAAAGTGTAACATAAATAAAATAAATATAATTATTTTATATGATATTTAATTATAACATACATAATTCACTTTCGTCCATGTTTATTTTGTAATATATATAGAAATATATAATTCGAATTTTATATATATATATGCATATATCTATGTTTTGGGTTATTAGTAAGTCGCTATACTGGTTGAGGCCATTGCAAAAAAAAAAAAAAAAAGCGCTTTATTACTTGGCCCGTTTAGAAATTGATTATTTTAATTAATTTTTTATAAAAATATGTACAATTTTTTTTTTAAAAAAAAATGATATAACAATTTATAATGAGTTTTTGATTTTTTAGCAAAAATCTATGGTTCCCAAACGATCAAATGACATGTTCATAATTTATTTTATTTTGAGAGTATGTCAAATTGTTTGATAATATTTTTTTATAATTTATTAAATACAAATAATTTAAATAGATTTTAAAATTTTAATTATTTAAAGGTTAAAAAATAAATATTTTTAATTTTTATTTTCTAATTATTATCTTACTATAAAGGTTGGTTGAGGTTGTTGAAACCATATACATTTCGAATGAGAGACTGTCGCGGTAATTGTGCAAGGATTCCTCTACGACGGATCTGGTAGGCTTGACACGCGCGCCCACTAATCAAAATCCACAGGTGAGATTAACTTTGGTGAGCGAAAAAAATTCCGCTTCACTTCTTTCTGCTCCTCCTTCTTTTCTCTCTCTACTCATCATGATTCATACTTCACCCTCCAAAAACCTTTCAACCGGAGGCAAATCACCCGACTCTTACCATTCTTCTTGGGTCTGGGCAACCCAGCCATATGAACTTCCTGCATCGATCGAGATTGGTCGACATTCACCGACCCAAATCAATCCCACACTGGAATATTCTGAAAACAAAACAATATTCTCCCAAATGATCTTCTTTTTTTTCCTTTGGCCGATTATTTTTCCTGTTGAGCTCTTGTCAGAGAATGTTGAAATTATATCGTTGTCGTTTTCGGATTTGGACTTTTTAATTTTTATATTAGTAGTTTTTTTTTCTTCAATTTAGGCAGTCTACTTGTTGGATTGGGGTTCGATAAATTGACAGATACGGAGAGAAGCAGGATGCTGCTTGAGTTGGATAAATTCGGGTTATGAGTCTTTCAATTGAAGAGGAGCGAGCTCAGCTAGCCAGAGCATGGTTTTCTTCCTCCAGCACGCCTTCGCTCTTACTTTAGGGTTTTGCTTTAAGAAAATGTAAGCAAAAAATAGCAAACTACTGTAGGGAGAAAATAAAGAGTGACCTCTCAAATGTTGGGAGACGAAATAGAGGAACAGAAAAAATTAAGCAGAGAGAAGCAGGAAAGAAAGAAAAAGCTTTGAGAGTTTTAGCGCAAAGTTGAGTGACTGTGGGGCTACCATGGGTTCATTAATCAATGTACTGAGGAGAAGGAAAGAGAGAGAGCAAGCGGGGAGGGGGGAGGGGGTGGGCGTCGCCAGGCAGTGACACGGAGGAGCTGCCGCCGGAGTGGGAGAAATTCATTCCGATAACTGTAGTGTCCCTTCTCTCTCCTCTTCTCTCTTTGGTTTCTTATTTTCACACTTTTTCTTTTTCCTCTTTTTTCCTTTTTTCAAATTTCTAACTAAAAGCAACGTCGTTTGGTTAGTTTTGGCATTTTCAACCCATTGGAACTGATTACTCTAGGCAGATCACTTGACGCGGTCTTCACTATGCAGGATCCGGACGCTGCCGGTTATCAGTCGCCTATGCAAACTGTTCCTGGAAAAAGAGTTTCGTGGACCAGACATTTCTTGGGAAGTAATGTTTTAGCATATACTATATTTTCTTTTTACTTGTTACAATAATATTCATAAATCATATCTATAGAGATCTTTACTTAAAATATTAATTATTTTTTGTGGATTATAAACATTGACATCTCACTTTTTAAATTTCTAATCGCATGGTAAACTAATTTAATTAATTCAATTTATTCTTTAATAATAAAGTATCATAATTTTAATTAATAGTTTTATGGTAATTTTAACTCTTGTATTTTACTGTTTTTTTTTGGTCAACCATTGAATGAACAAAATCTCAATAACATTGACGTATTTGTAATGTCTAAAATTAAGAAGATGTGCTTTGGTAATTTCATCTTTTTAATTTTTTTAATCCATTTGAATTATTGTGCATGTGTCACTTTATTATTATTTTGTGTTTATATAATACAAGCTGGTATGACTTTTTTGAAAAGGGTTGATTATTTGACATGTCTAGAGTTTTATGCGTAACTAGCTTTATGATAATCAATACTCCCATCCCTTCTCCAACTAAATTATATTATCCCATGGAGTAAACCACAAGGCCCCGCATTCTCAAGTCTATTATGAATAATCGCCCATGAACTTTTAAAATGAATAAAAGTGGCCTAAAATATTTTTTAAAAAATTAAAAATAATTTTTTAAGAAAACATTGTAGCTTACAAATTCTTAAAATATTGTTATGAATATCTGTGTTATAAAATATAACATAAATAATATATATATAATTTTATTTAAAATAATTAATGAATATATCTTGGTAATATATATGTCTAGCAATTATTTTTAAAAGGAACATTTATACAGCACGTTTTTAGTTTACTGAACTTTATCTCCCCCCCATTAAGTTTTAACTCACTACGCATGTTTTTCTTAAATTTCAAGATTCTATCTTAAATTTTAAATATTTAGAATTGCCTTTCAAATAACGATCTGTTCATCATTTTATGATTATTTATCAATCGAAATACTGCAATGTTTGGACATTTAATTTTGATTTTTAAAACACTTTTAAAAATATCAATTTTCAAATATGAAAATATATATATATATATATATATATAATGTGCATAAAAAAAAAAAAACTACCTATTTTTTTTTTTTGGGTTGAAAAAACTGAAAATTATTTTTTATGCAAAACTGAAAATTTTGTGTCTATAAAGAGCATAATGATGGATAAATGCATATGCAAAATTAAAAAAAAAAATTAAAATGAAAACATGATAAAATGTTTCTTAGTTTTTAAAAACTGAAAAAAAAACTAATAACAATGTTTTCTATTTTATTGGATAGTTTGAATGCAAACCAATAAGTAGAAAGGGCAAAACGTTTAATCTATACTCTGTTTTTTTTTTTCCCCATCAATTAGCGAAACAATACATTCAGAATATTACTATTGTAAAAAGTTGCATAAAATCATTTTTAGTTTTAAAAATTAAGAAAATGATTAATATTCTCAGTTTTATTAAACATGTTTTATTGGTTTACAAATTTTTTAAACAGGACTTGAACTAACCAGCACAATATTTATAAAGTAGAACTTCCTTAAATAATTAACTGGCTTTAAAAAATATTTTGCAAAAATAGTGCCAGTAACACAATCTTCAAACTTTACAAACTATAAATATGTATTTAAAATATATATATATATAAATATATTATATAAATGTGAAGGCGTATTGACATCTTAATTTTTAGATTTTTCGAAAACAGACTAGGCCCTTCTCTTTAAGTCTCTTAATCAGACTGGAGAGGTGCTGTTTGGCCTAGGTGGTAAGAAAAAAAGAAAAAAAACCAACCCCACTGTTTATCTGATAATGACTGATTGATTACCGATTACTGGCTAAACGGAACCTGATAAGTGGAGGCGTGATAACTGACCTGATAATTGAAACCTGATTAAAGTACTGAACCTTGACTGAACCGAACTTTAAACTGAGTTAAATGTATGCATTTGGATGAATTGCATTCTACTATCTTTGGCTGTATGATTTCTGTTCATAGCTTATAATGTTTTAAACTATTAATTAAGCCTTATCGGCGGCGAACCAGGAAATAGGGTTAGTGTAATTATGATCGGGTCATATTCTAATTGATTTTATGGTAATAATTAATCTGAAAAACTGATTAGGTATGATTAAATTAGATTAAATGAGTTAAATTGCAAAGTTTGCCGTAATTACCAAAATGCCCACTTAAGTGCGCCAGCTAACTTGGCTCGTCTCATTACAGCTCATATAACAAGCACATTTCATCAGCTTCCATTCTTGACCACAGCCACCGACTAGAGCAGAGAGAAATAGAGAGCGAAGAGGGAATTGAGTTGAGTTTTGAGTTCATTGTTGGAAATTGCTTGGGTAATGAAGTGTAGATTGCTAATTTGAGCCTCTAGCCTTGCATTGGGGAAGACCTAATGTAGAAGTGGATTACTCTCTTGTTTGTGTATTTGAAGCTTGAATTCTTGCATGGTTCATTGTTAATTTGTAGAGCTAGT